GCTGAGCATAAGGAGGTTCAGAGGGACAGGGGGGCTCAGTGGGGTGAAGGGGCTCAGTGGGATGGAGGGGCTCATTGGACTGAAGGGGCTCAGTGGGGTGGGGGGGCTCAGAGGGATGTGGGGACTTAGTGGGATGGGGGGACTCAGTGGGATGGGGGGACTCAGTGGAGTGGGCAGGCTCATTGGGATGGGGGGGCTCAGCTGGTGGAGTCTGGTGGTCATACTGTGGGGATGCTGAAGCTGGATGGTACTGGGTGGGCAGCTGAGCCTCCGGGGGCCTGGCTGGGGGGCTGGAGGGGTAGAGGGGGGCCGGGGAGTGGGCTTTGGCCTGCATGGTGTAGAACTGCTGCAGGGGGAGGAGGTACAGGCAAGGAGAAACAACCGGCATGGTGTAGGCCTGGAAGAGAGGAGGCGTCAGCAGGGAGGACACTCAGAATTGACAAATCAGACTTTTTCAACGGGTCCTCAAACGCCTCACGCTGAAAAATCTGATTTGTTCCAACTTTTATTTTGAAAAACAAACGGTCTTTATTATTGTTTATTGCGTCAACAACTCGTGGATTTATGAACCATCTCTAAAGATCAGATTTATAAAGTTCCAGACAAAAACAAACTGAAGACGAGTGTTGAGGTTTTATTTTCTTACCTTCACACCCAGGTTGAAGAAAAACCTCAGGAGGTTCACGTCTGAAGAGAAAAACAAGATTCAGTAAAATATCTTGTGACGAGTTTTAATCCAGTGAATTAATAGAAACTTGTATAAATAATAAATCTTCAACACTTTAAATAAACTAAATTATTTAACATTGTTATTTTTTATCCTCTGAAGGTCGACTTCCAACAGAAACTTAAAAATATCGACATTTTAAATTTTTATTTCAAATTGACGTGGATGTTGTTCCGGGACAGAAACGTGTCCTCACCCTTCGGCAGGTCGTCTCCCGTCCTGCAGGTGGAGAACGGCGGGATCTGCAGGACCTCGCCTTTCTCCCCCTGCGGGAACCCGGGGTACAGGGGGTCCTGGAACCACTGGGACAGCTGGTGGAGGGGGAGGGGCTGAGGAAGGCCGGGGAACTGAGGAAGACTAGAGGGGGGAGGGGGCGGAGTCTCGGGCTTCTGTGTGGGCGGAGCCTCAGTTTGGACATTAGCTGGGACCTGGTAAGCATCAGGAGGTGGATCAGAGGACTGGACCTGGACAACATCAGACCGAGGCTGTGCTTGAGGCTCAAAGGGGACCTGAATGTGGGTCTGAGGGACCGAGGTCTTAGCCCTCAGGACCTCAGTCCAATTCAGAGGGGTCTGGTCTTGGTTCTCTAGTAAAGAACCTTGACTCTGGGTCTGGATCTCAGGTAGACTGGGCTGTGTTTGGTTCTCCTCATGAAACCCAGAAACCTGGTTCAGGTCTGGATCCACTCTGGGATGAATCTGAGACACTCGAGTCCCACTTTGGAAGGTCTGAGACTCCGGCAGAGTCCCTTCGGTCTTTGGTGCAACACCTGAAAACAAACAAACAAATAAACAAAAGAAGGATCAACAAAATCCTAAATTTATCAGAGTAAAAAAAAATTTTTTTTAAATTAAATCCTTTAAGTTTCAGGCTGAAGAGCCGAAACTGAGCCAGTTAACATAAAACAAGAAGCTAAAAGAAGCAAAACAGCAGCTAAAAAGAGCAGAGCAGTAGCCAAAAGGACTAGAGCAGTAGCTAAAATTATTAAAACAGTAGCTAAAATTATTAAAACAGTAGCTAAAATTATTAAAACAGTAGCTAAAATTATTAAAACAGTAGCTAAAATTAGTAAAACAGTAGCTAAAATTAGTAAAACAGTAGCTAAAATTAGTAAAACAGTAGCTAAAATTAGTAGAACAGTAGCTAAAATTAGTAGAACAGTAGCTAAAATTAGTAAAACAGTAGCTAAAATTAGTAGAACAGTAGATAAAATTAGTAAAACAGTAGCTAAAATTATTAAAACAGTAGCTAAAATTATTAAAACAGTAGCTAAAATAAGTAAAACAGTAGCTAAAATAATTAAAACAGTAGCTAAAATTATTAAGACAGTAGCTAAAATTATTAAAACAGTAGCTAAAATTAGTAAGACAGTAGCTAAAATTAGTAAAACAGTAGCTAAAATTAGTAAAACAGTAGCTAAAATTAGTAGAACAGTAGCTAAAATTAGTAGAACAGTAGCTAAAATTAGTAAAACAGTAGCTAAAATTAGTAGAACAGTAGATAAAATTAGTAAAACAGTAGCTAAAATTATTAAAACAGTAGCTAAAATTATTAAAACAGTAGCTAAAATAAGTAAAACAGTAGCTAAAATTAGTAGAACAGTAGATAAAATTAGTAAAACAGTAGCTAAAATTATTAAAACAGTAGCTAAAATTATTAAAACAGTAGCTAAAATAAGTAAAACAGTAGCTAAAATTAGTAAAACAGTAGATACAATTAGTAAAACAGTAGCTAAAATTAGTAGAATAGTAGATAAAATTAGTAAAACAGTAGCTAAAATTAGTAAAACAGTAGATAAAATTAGTAAAACAGTAGATAAAATTATTAAAACAGTAGATAAAATTATTAAAACAGTAGCTAAAATAAGTAAAACAGTAGCTAAAATTAGTAAAACAGTAGCTAAAATTAGTAAAACAGTAGCTAAAATTAGTAGAACAGTAGCTAAAATTAGTAGAACAGTAGATAAAATTAGTAGAACAGTAGATAAAATTTGTAGAACAGTAGCTAAAATTAGTAAAACTGTAGCTAAAATTAGTAAAACAGTAGCTAAAACTAGTAGAACAGTAGATTAAATTAGTAGAACAGTAGCTGAAAGGAGAAAACGGTAGCTAAAAGGAGAAAACGGTAGCTAAAGTAACTGAAGCAGATGTTAAAGAGAGCAATGTTTCTGAAAAACTGAATAATTGTTATTTTTAAATTTGATGGTAAAAGCTGAAAAGTCGTCTGTTTCAGGTTCAACTTGTTCTTAGTGTCGGCTGATTTCTTACTTGGAGCTGGAAGAGCTGGAGGAGGAACCACTGAGGAGGAGGGAGGACTGGGGGAGCGAGGCAGAGAGGAGGTGGGGCCGAAAGATCGCAGGTAGCCCTGAGCGGCTGCGGGACACGGAGCGATGGGGGCGATGAAGGTCGGCTGAGGAGCTGAAGATGAGGGAGGAGACGCAACAGCTTGGGGAGGAGGGGACAAAGACGAAGCGGGAGGAGCTGAAGCGGCGGGGAGAACTGGGGTGATGAAGGAGAAGACGCCAGCGGAGGACGGGACGGAGGGTTTAACAGTGGGAGGGGGAGAAGTTGGAGCAGCAGCCGAGGCGTAGGACTGCGTGGTGGCTTTAGTGGGTGGGGCAGCAGAGAAGGATGGGTGGCTGTGGGAGGAGCCTGAGGCTGCCGCTTCTGCAGAGCTCCGCCCAGCAGAGTAAGTGGGAGGTTTAAGAGCGGAGGGGGCGGAGCTGACAGGTGAAGTGGAGGACTTGAGTCTGTCTCCAGCAGGAGGCGACGACACGACGTCGTCGACTGGACTCTGGAAAAACAAAAAGTTCATTTTTTTATTTCAAATGATTTAAAAAATGAAACGAGTCGAATTCAGCAGAAATAAACAACTCAGACAAATCCTGTTATTCTGGACGCAAGGCTTTTATTTTTTTAACACATTTATTGTGAAGAAATGAACTGACTCCTTCAAAATGACGTCCGTTTCGTTAAAAAACATTCATCATCGTGTCCGGGGATAAAAAAATTAAAAAACATCTAAATTTCCCAATAAAGCTTTGATGTTTGTCCTAAACGGGCTGAAAATTGGGATTCTTCTTCTTTTATTTATTGATTCTTTTAAACAGAGACACGTTTAGATGACATGTAGGTGTGGGGACCCATCGGTCCACCAGCTTGGTTCTGGACAAACTGTGTTAGACACTAAGCTGACAAGAATGGAAGCGGTCCGGTCCGCCTGAGTGAAGATCATGTAAATACGTGCTGAAGCTGCTCAGACCGGATCAACCATGGACGTTAGGCCCATTCACACAAGAACATCAGAGTTTCTGACGCTGGTTGTGGAAAAGTTACATGTTTACACCATCAATTATTATTATTACCATAATTTCCAGACTTATGAGCACACCTGAATATAAGCCACGCCCACTAAATTTAACAAAAAGAATAAAAGTGATCCTCCACCGTCCTGAGCAGGAAGTCGGACAGCTTGTGTTGTCATTTTAAATGCACGATTCACAGTTCAAGAGGCTGCAAATACTGCCCCCCCTCCCTGGGGGGGAGGGGGAACCCTCCCCAGTGGACCAATGAAACTTGTTTTATTAGTCTCCACTGTGACCTGTTCAGTACTTTCTGGGTGTAACGAGGCTAAATGTTTTGGCAGCATGAAGCTCATTAGCTTAGCTGCAGCATTGTAAAAGCCGAAGGCTTATTGTCCGGTATTGTACGGTAATTTTTATTTAACCAGGCTAATCCCGGGCCGCGGCTATGGCGCAGGGGTTAAGCGCCCAAGTTCGAGGCTAGTCCTCATAGCGGCGGTCGCGGGTACGAGTCCTGGTCCCGACGAACTTTCCCCAATGTCTCCCCCTCTCCCTCACCCCGTTTCGCCCCCACCCTCTACAATAAAACTAGGCCACTAGAGCCTCAAAAATAGAAAAACAAACAAAAAACAGGCTAATCCCTCTGAGAGCTCTATCCAAGGGAGGCCATGGTCTGAAGGCACCCCAACGAGCACGTTTGGACTGTTTGACCCAGTAAAAACAAGAGAACATACAAACTCCACAAACTGAGGCTCAAACCCAGGACCTTCTCGCTGTAAAGCAGCAGTGCTAACGGCTCAGCTGTCATCCTACACAGCTGCGCCCGCTGACTCGGCTGTAGCTAGCTGGAGCTGTGACTTCAGCACTTCACCGACTCGTCGGTCAGGAACAAAGAAACAAAGTTTGTTTGGACCGAGGGAGAGGTTGGGCTGCACGTTGAAGAGTGATCAGGACAAACAGCACTCTGCTATCCATCGTCGCGGTCGCTTATGAGGAAAACTACCGAGTGCAGTGTCCGTCTGGTGCCTGCAGTTCCCCTGAAACGACGGAGGTTTACAAAGACCTCCACTCTGAATCTGGGATTAAAACCGTTTGTCGGACCGACTAGCAGAGAGTCTAAACGGATCAGAAATTAGTTTCACTTAAAAACGACGTGGAGCCTCAGAGCCAGTTTCACCGTTCAGTTCTTTTTTAAAAGTGATGTTTTTAGAGCTTCACGAGCAGGAAACCAAACGAGACCTGCGAAACTCTAAAATCCTCCTGAAAACATTTTGGACGGCTCCACCAGGAGATAAACTTGGTCCAGAAGTTCCTGATGGGTGATCAAACCCTGGCGCCACCAGCACCTGGGTCCTGTTCACTGAACTGACCGTCTTGTTCCTCTGAGGCCGCCTCCTTTCGCCGGCCTTCCTCCTTGCTCCATCAGCCGGCGCCGCTGCCTGAGCCTGAGGGAGGAAAAGATCAGAACTCGATCAAAACGACACAGAAACGTCTGCGGAGCTCCTCTGAGATCTTTAGACTCGGTGGAAACTGAACCGACGAGTCTGTTTCTTTAAAACAGCGTGTGAAAATTAGAAAAAAACATTTCTGCTCACTCCCAGGGCGGGGAAGCTGTGCTCGTCTCGGAGCTGGATCTCCAGCAGCGCCATGTTCCTCTCGTTGTCCTCTTCTTTGGCCAAACTTTGCTGCTGGTTGGTCGGAGCCAGGGGCGGCTCCCCGGAGCCCACAGACCTCCTGCAGGAGGACGAGGCTCATTAGAAAAAACGTTAAAAAACCCAGAACAAGAACACCGTCCTCAGCCGGGGCTGAAATCAACCAGTCCCCACCCAGAAGGCTGCTGGACCTTCTCATTCAGAACCACTACAGCATGGTCGGTTCTGGATCACGTGATCCATTTAGCTGGTTGAGGTGTCGTCAACGCACTCACCTGCTGGTTTTCCCCCCTCCCTGCTCCTCTACGGTGGCCTGCGGGGGCCACGAGTGCTGCTTCTGCATGCGCCCGCCGGAGCCTGCAGCTGTTGCCGGGGGAACGGAGGAGGAGGATGACGATGAAGATGGGGTGGACTTCCCTCGCCCCCGTCCTTTACCGCGGTCCTCCCAGACTGAAAGAGGCAGAACTTGATCAGAACCAGAGGATGACCCGATCCAGAACAAAAGGTTCAGTTGGAACAACGTGAGGGAGAAGAACCACCGCTCTTCAAGATGTTCCGTCAGTTTTATTTCTAAACAGGAATGTAATAAATAACAACGAAGAACGCTCCTGAAATAAAATATTTTTAATATTTAATTCAAGCCAGTTTATTTATATAGAACCAAATCACAACGAAGCTGTCTCAGGGAACTTTACAGGAACATTCACATTCATAGAAAAGTCAATTAGTAAAGTTCTCTATCCAAGGAAGACTTGAGTCTTCACTTCGTCTCAGTCTCATCCTGAGCAAGCACAAAGGAGACAGTGGAAAGAAAAAACTCCCTTTAACAGGAAGAAACAATCCTGCTCTGTCGAGTGTCACACCGTCACATTAAAATAAGAATATCCGGGAATTAAAGCAAAGAAAACTCTTTTGACAGAAACTTTGTACTAACACGCGAGTTCAACAAAGCGAATCCATCACACCGGATCGGTCGAGGCCCGGATTAACAACGACCTCCACTGGTGCTGACAAACAGGGTGCTGGAGGAAACTGTGCTACGGTTAGTCGAAGACCACGAGGAGGGAAACGTGTCAGGAGACAGAGGGAGAAGAGGAAAGTCAAGAATGTAGGACTGAGGGATGCAGCTCTAAAAATGTGGGGACAATGACAGGCAAAGGTAGAGAGCTGGCTGACATGATGCTGAGAAGGAAGGTAGAGAGC